ATTATCGTGTGCAATTTATACATATTAAATACCTCTTTATATGATATATATGATCTTTTATAAAAATTATTTATACTTTTTAAAAAGTTTTGTTATATAATATCCAAATCTGTCTGAGAGAGATTTATACTGTGCTAGAAAAAATAAGGCAGATGGTAAAACTCTCGCCTGTAAGCAAACTGGAGGAAGTCCAACCATGCAGCATAATGCATTATTCTGATTAATTAATGTTTGTGAGGCGGCGTCAATCAAAGAGAAGTAAATATTTCCGCGCGATAAAAGCAGTAACCGAAGATTATGTCAACAGAAGTTGTGTTGTATATAGATGCATTTTCTTAGCGAGCTCAATTTGATGCATTTTCTTCACTACAAAATAAACTAGTCAAATATCTATAATTAGTTATGAATTAAAGTCAAAGGTTTTATCGAAATTTCTTAATTGACAGTGCACAGGTTGACATATTGCGTGTTACCGAGTAAGTAGACAAACCGCAACCACATACATTTTGAAGGCAGGTACTGCTAGAATTAATAAATACGAAAATAACAATAATTACATTGTAATTCCGCTATTCCGTATATTTATACGGAAACCGACGAATATATTGAAATTAAATTTGCAACGAACTTTAGTCTCGTAACTGTAATTCGAACAAATTAGCAAAAATTGATCTTCACGTTCCATTACGCTATTAATTGTTTCCCCGGCAGATAACAATATTGATGAATCAATATATCGTTGGCGAGGTATATTGCGCGTCGTGTATGAATTGCGTGAATATTAGTCGTATGTTTTATATATACTTTTTTTACGAACTTCACAGATTAATAATCCGTTGCCAGTCGTCATAATGCCAATCTGTAATCGTAATTAATCCCTAATTAAGCCGCTTAATCATGTAATTAATTTAGTTTATTGCATGCAATAATAGAGTGTACACCTTGTTACGTATATCATTAATTTGGTTATTATGAACAGTGACTAATGTGATTTTACGTGTGCACACGTGTACACAATTAAAAGAGCTACATATAAAATATTTTTACGTCTATGTTACCGTGATTTTATCATAACAATTACAATTTAATAAAAAATAATAACAATTAATAGATAAATATTAATAAAAATCTTATTTAAAAAGTCGTTCATACAATAATGTAAGTAAGACTAATATTGCTTACAACTAAAAAAAATCACTTGAATTTGTTTTCTTTAAAAAGTATGATTCGAAAGAAGTTTTGAAACAATAAATTTTATAAATTTTTTATTTTAGTTTATTAGTATTAAATTTTTACAATTTTGAACATCAGAATTTTGTCTGCGATTATACAGTTATTTGACGTTTTCCTTGCATGCGGTTTCGATGCAATTTCCTATTTATAACCGTACGTATATTAAACAGTTTCAGGCGCAAAGAGCAGGAAGAAGCTTTTGCGAAATTGATCGTAAGTCTTATTATCGACAGATGTTTTCATATAGTTTATAGATATATACATGTAACCTGAATATTTCTCGCTGCAGCATTAGAGTGCAAAGTTTAAATAAATATATATGTATTTACTTAATAATCGTGCTTCTTCTTGAATGGAAGTTTAAATTAAAATAGCCGTTCCGAATAACAACTTGATCCGACTCTTCTTCTAAAAGTAAATTGTCTTGAATCTTGCAAAGTGAAGAATTTAACGGAAGAAATGAATAAAAGATGAAACAAATACGTCGAACATAGAGTTGTCTTATTCTAAATTTAAATTTAAAACAAAGTTTAAACTTTATTGGTTAAACAATATATTGGCACGGAACTCATTTTTGAGGTATCCTTAATGTATACAATGTCAATTTTAATAGTTTAACTTTAATCTTGTCATCGCATGTTAAGTTTTGGAACTTTCAAAACTTTCAAGAATATATATATATATAAATATAACTTAATCGATATATGATAAACTTATATAACACATTATCAAGGGAACTTTATCTGCAGTATGAAATAAAAAATATAATTAAAGTATAAAGTTTTATGAAAAATTAAGAAACGTGTTTTACTCTTAATATGTTTTACTCTTAATAATTAATCACAATTACTATGGATTAAAGATATAATAATAACATAAAGCTATTTTATTTAATGGCAAAAGCTTATTGCAGAGGATGCACGAAAATATTTTAATTAAGAGATGTGTTGTTTAAATACAAACGCATTTTGATGCACTCTGATATAATCGTTACTACTGCGTCAGGATTAATGAGAATTTATATATATTTATCTTTATTACAATAGATAAACGTAAATTAATATTTTAATAATGTGTTTATTATTGCGTTTGGCAGGAACAAATTTTGCAATATATAAGCATATCAATATATAACAAATATTCAGTAACTGTCATTGATTGTGGAAAAATTGATACTTGGAAGTAGTTATTATAATTTATAAGTTTTTTTAAGCACTAAAAAAATCTTATTTATAGTGATAGGCACAGTTGCCATCTTTAGTTCTTGACCGAATATTTTGGCTTTTTGAACCTCTAACTTTTCGGCTAACCATTTTAAATTTTTGATGACCTTTTTTTGAAAAGAATAATGTACACATATATGTATGCGTATAAATTCATTTGAAAGGAATCTATGACAGAAAAGCTTTTTTCATGATCTATTTAAAAAAAAATATTACGATAATAATAACAACATCAAATATGCTAAATATATCAATATATAAATTGATTCTTGGCAGATTAGTATTCTAAAAATGGTAACTATTTTGTGTTAGGTCTTTTCCAGATTGACAAAGATATCGATGTATTGTATAATTTAAATGATTCAGAAAACGTGATTTTTTTTCATGAAAATGTTTAAAATAAAAAGTAATTTATTACGTTATTACTATAACAGCATTTTTGTAAAAAAAAATTTACTTTTAACTTTATTGAGCTTATATAGAATAATTTATTTTTAACAAACTATTTTAAAACAAAAATATTTATTAGTCTTGCTAGGGAAAAAATCTGGGGAAAAAATTAATATTATAAAACAATATATTATATTATGAAATCTATATTCTATATTACAGATAAATATTTTGGCAAAATTATTATTTTTTAAATTATATTAGCAAATTTAGAAGAATTTAAAAAGAAAAATGAATTATTTAAAATTTATTTAGAGTAAACAATGTATATTTAAAACTAAAATATTATTATAATTCTATTTATATTATTCTATAATTCTATTTATATTATATTAATTCTATTTAATTTATAATGTTTTAAATTAATTGCATGATCATTAACATATTTTATATGTTAAAAATAATATTACATTAATAATATTATATTAGAAAATCCAAAATAACACAAGATAATGTAAGTTTTTGTTATGTAATATAATTTTTATTATAAAAAAGATATTACAATTTGCAAAATATTTTATTTTGTCTATATCTCAAGCTTTAAATATGTTTGGAGGATATATCATTCATATAAAAACTGAAGTTGCATCACATTACGCTTCATTGAATCATAAGTTTGAGTACCTAGTGAATCATTACTAATATATTCGATTATATATAATACATTCTGAATTATTTTAAAAGATTAATTACATTTTTGCATATTGGTGTAAACATGATTCTTTAATGCATACTAAAAGCTGTTAAAATATGTACGAGGTAAAATATGTATTATTATTATGACATACATACACATATACAAGGAATATTCTTTTCCATAATAATAAATGAATAATATACTTTTATGTATTTATTAATAAATTTAATCAGTGGTGTGAATTTATATTCATATTGAGATATGCATATTAACAAGATATAAGGCATGTATTTCCTCAATACTGAAATGTGATAAATAATCATCGAACTACCATGCGAAATTTTCCATTTAAATTGCTTCGCAAATTTTGTATTTTAAAACTTTGGAATTTTGAAATTTAATGGAATAATTTTGAATGTTTATTATATATTGACGTATAGTCATAAGACGGCCTAAGGTTGTCTAATAAAAATAACAACAACAACAAAACAACAATAACAATAACAACAATTGTAATAGCCTTTTAAAGATTCTATCATGTTATAATAAAAATATATAATAATGAATTGAAAATGGCGAGATAGAAGCGAATAAAATTTTAATTTACATTAATTTTAGATTACGGGATACAAAATCGATCGAAAATAATTTTATAAGTAACACTATTAGAAAACAATTTTTTGTGATTGGTTATCTTCTTTGCATAGTAAAATCGAATTTTTCTCTAATCAACATCTTTTATTCTTTTATTCTTTTTGTAACAATGTAATATATTTATAAATGGATTAAATAATCTTAAATATATAAAATAATATACTACTATAATAATATATAATTTTAATTGTTACAGAAATCCTTGACTAATTTTTACATATGACGAGGATCAAAACGGCCTAACAAAAGGTAAAACTTTTCTATCGTATTAGTATAATACATTATTACATAATTACATAATTACATAATTAGTATAATACATAATAATTTCATATATGTGAAATTATACTTTGTCATACAATTTAATTATTAATGTAATAATTATAATTAATGCAATTAATTATTGATACAATAATAATGACTATGCATTAGTACTTCTTGCATATGTATTAATATGTAATTAATATTAAGACATCGATTATTTCTGTTATTATAAAAAAACCCAAAAATTTAAGAATAATGATATTAAATCCAATTTAGCGATGCCAATAAAAAAATAGTTAAAACTATTTTTTGCTAACAATGTACTAAGTTTACATTTATTAAAGACTTTGTAGTTAGAAAAAAAGAAAAATACAACTTACATATTCTAAATAATATTATATTAAATCTACAACTTGTTTAATATAACAAAATATCTGCGATAAATATCTTAATATAACAAATCTCTCTTGTATAATAGTATTCAGAAGAAACAAAATCAAAACTCTTTGATCTTATTAATTTACCATATCTACTATTTGGCTGAATTTATAGTATAATATAGTATAATATTATTCAAGTAAATATCATTTATTTATATATTTATGTACGTTGTACAAATGCACAGAAAATTATAATCTCTTGTACAAACTAATATTTTTTTTTTAAATAATCGAATTGATAAAATAATTAGCTAGTATTATAAACTTAATTAGATTAATTAATTCTGTTTATTTATATTCAATTGAATTAACGTAAACGTAATTATGCTTGTAAACATTTTCCGTTCCTTATTTTATTTTTGAAGATTATATTGACAATAAAATGCAAAGAAAATATTAAATAGATACAAGCTTTAAAAATTTTTTTTAAATTATTAAAATAGGATAAGGAAAATATTTCTGTTTACAAATTTACACGATACAATCTAATGTGGTTGTAATTTCATTCTTAATTATTTCTATCATTCGATCTGCGATAACTATATGCGATTATATCTAGGATAAAAAATATCAAAAGATATAAATTGTGTATAAAATATTACATTTTGTGTCTTCATATTTCTAAGAAGAGAAACTGTGTATGTCCGCTAAAAGATTGCAGAACATTATCATGTTTATCGTTATCGGTTCAATTCAAATGTATTTTATTATGTCGATCATATTATTTCGTGTGATCTGAATTTTGTATTATTAATGAACAAATTATATATTTATATGATGTTATTGACAATGTCTCACGTTTTGTCCATATTTTTTAAAGATTAGTTGCAAGAGAGACGAACAGATTACGTTAATGAAACTGCACATTAATCTTTTTTTTACAGTATCTTATATGTTCACAGGTAGAAAAATATAATTATATAGAAAAAATATAATTATATCTCTTAATCAATTTGCAATATTTTATTTCTAAAGATATTTCTTATAATTATTTTGTTTTTATTATTTAAAAATGCGACATACAATTTGAATATATTTTGTTGTTATTATTTTGTAATTGCTCCAATTTTTTCTTTTTCATGTTGCCAGTAATATCTCCTTTATTACAGATGATGATGATAACAACTGAGTTTTATAATATTAATTCTGAAGTGGAGTATGAAAATGATGGATATGTACCATATAATCAAAGAATTGAAACTTATATCGTTCCTATAATATTTTCGTTAATTTTGATCGTGGGTGTAGCGGGAAACGGTATCTTAGTTCTTATCTTGCTATGTCATGCCAGTATGAGAAATATACCAAATACTTACGTGCTGTCTTTAGCACTTGGTGACCTGTTGGTAAGCGTACAGCTTTGCTATTCCTCTCTCTCTTTCTCTCTCTCTCTCTCTCTCTCTCTCTCTCTCTCTCTCTCTCTCTCTCTATTCTTTTTTTCCCAAAGTTTCCTGTAATTCAAGAAAATTAAAATATTTTGAAGTAAATACTTCTTATCTTAAGTATAAAAAAAATCTTATGTATAGGAAAATAATAAAAATAAATTTTTTTAAGTTAACTAGAATATAATAGAAAAGATATATCTAGAAATAGATTTTTGTCTAACAGAAATATCAACAATATTATATATTATATTGTCGCACTTCCGCGGCGGTCACTCGTACAACTCTCACTTACGCGACACGCGTAAATAAATAGAAGCCATTTATAAAAAAGGAACTTTAATGAGCACAATTAATTACACTGTTCGTGATACAATTTCGCGCTCGCAATCCGCTCGCGCGTCACCTCTCAAAACCGTCCCGCACGAATCTCTGTCAAATCTTTCTTCAATCAATAAATTCTTCAATCAAAAGTACATAAACAACGGCACGTTGGCAAAGAACGATCTTCTCAACATTACTCGGGAGCTAAAAGCGAGCGGACCACCGCTCGGCCAATATATTATTATACTTTGTGTTCTATATCAAAACTTATCGTCCTTACAATCATTACTTGTGAAAAAAATATATTGTATCTTCACAGTATATTTATGATTTCTGCTTCTTCTTAATAACTTATTATGTTTTTTGTGATAAAACTTTTATGGTATAGTATCTAAATATATCGAATACGGGAATACTTTATGGTTACAGGTGATTGTGACTTGTGTACCTTTCACATCAATTGTTTATACGATCGAATCATGGCCATGGGGCTTAACTATCTGCAAACTCTCTGAATGTGCTAAGGATATTTCAATTGGCGTGTCCGTATTTACTTTAGCTGCTTTGTCAGCCGAAAGGTAAATATGTGAACTGAGAGCCTTATCGTGTCGTACAAGTTAATTCAAGGAATTAAACAAAATTTTAGCTGGATGTTACTACGAATATACGTATATACGTATATACGTATTTTAATTTAATTTCTAATTGAAAGAATAAAATTGAAATTTTAGTTATATATCTGACAATGAACGTAAAACAAACTCATTAACGTATCATGTATAACGTATTTCAATGGCCGCACAGGAAATTGCCATTGGATATTGATATAGATACAGTTGAATATGCTACATAAATAATTAATAATTATCAGTACAGCTAAACATATTGAAATAATTTTAATTAATTTCTTTTTTTTTTAATTTTTATATTTTATTTGGATCAAATGTATATATATGGATAAATTGTAATGATCTAAGATATGCAAATTATTGTTTGTATCTTAAATAATTTTGAAATAAATTAAATTTTTGCTGCTTTTATTATACAGTCTTGCATCTTTTCATGTTTTTGTAGATATTGCGCCATTGTGAATCCCATCCGTCGCCATGTAGCTGGTTTAAGTGCAAAACCACTTACCATCTTAACAGCATCTCTTATTTGGGTTCTTGCAATTATTTTAGCGATGCCCGCCGCATTCTTCTCTTATGTATCCTCTATACAATTGAATGGAAACCATAGCATTTTAATCTGCAATCCTTTTCCTGAAGAATTTGGTAAGCCATAATACGTTTTCCTTGAACACGATTATGAATGTCAGAAAACCTAATTAGGGATATATAATGCATATATAAATTGTAAAGTGCATAATGACACTTTGAACAATCTATATATAATAATGTCATTTTACTTGCTAGAAAGAAAAACTTTGAACTTTGAATTTTTCCAGATATGATTTATTAATGACAAAATGATAGATTAATAACTTTTATTTTTTCTACTAATACTAATTATAGTCCCCATTCTCAGAGACACATTTTTATATATTTATTTAATTATATATCTACACACAATATTTTATCTTATTAATTTTCTTGAACTATAATTATGTATGCAAGAAGATAAAAATTATTATACTAAATTATTGCGCAAAGACATCATGCTTCTACATTACAGGAGATGTTTATGAAAAAGGCATGGTAATGTTCAAATTTTTAGCGTATTATGTAATACCATTATGCGTGATAGCTGGCTTCTATCTGGGCATGGCATGGCATTTAGCATTATCGACCAAAAATATGCCAGGTGAACTTCCTGGTGGTGATCTTCATGTTGAACAGATAAAAGCGCGCAGACGGGTATATAAGTATATAAAAATATACTTTTTAAAATTTTGAAGCATTAAAATTGTGTTTTGTATCATTAAACAGTTTTGCAAAATTTAATTTCTTGCTTGATGTTATTATATTGATGATTTCATTTGTTACTGCAATTTAACAGGTGGGCAAAATGGTAGTATGTTTTATAATCGTTTTTGTGATCTGTTTTCTACCGTATCACATATTTATGCTGTGGTTCCACTTTTGCCCTACGGCCCGTGATGACTATGATTATTATTGGCACGCCTTCAGGATAATCGGTTTCTGCCTCAGTTTTAGTAATAGCTGCGTTAATCCGATAGCACTCTATTTAATTAGTCGCACATTTCGTCAAAGGTAAGCATCTATATAATGTTGATTATAAATACAAAAGATTTTAAAGTGAATTGGACGCCAATAACTTTTAATTAATGGTTATTATTCAAAGATGATTCCTTTTAAACTTCGTATGACATTTCATAACAAAAAATAGAATTAAAAATAAAATTGAGGATTTGTATAGTATATATTGGATAAAATTTATTTTATAAATGAAATTATTTGAATTAATCAATCAAATTAATCTTGCTATCTAAATAATAATAAAAATAAAAAATATATAATAAATGTTTTATCATTTTATTGTTTTGTAAAATATTGTCAAAATATAAATTCTTCGTGAATTTTTTACGGAATAATTATTCACATTTATTTGAAAATAGTTTTCTCCAAATTGTTGATAAAATGTATATGATATTATTATTTTTTACATGCATTAAGAAAGTAGAAAAATGTATTATTTGAAAAATTCTGAGAATAATATAATTATTTGAATAGACTTAAATTTGGAAAATTAAGCTGCAACAAATTTTTTTCTTTTATTAAAGATTCAACGGCAATGTATTTTAATTTATCATTTCTTTTTTGCCGTAGATTTAATAGATATTTATGTTGTTTATGTCGACGATATGGATGCAATGTTTGCGGTGGAAATCGGATGAACAGAAGCATAATTCATGGACACGGTGATGTTTTACAAAGAAGTCGGCGTATGTTTTACGAGACCAGTTTTGGTTCCACTTTCCGAAGACGTACTCAAGAATTTAATTCAACTGGAGTATTTGAAATGGGAAGTATAGAGACGACTAAACCTACTGTAGATGATCGAAAGTAACTCTTGGAAATAATTTTGAAATATAAACACGGATATATCAATGTAAATTGCAGTGCAAGTTCAAATATAACACCATCACAACCGATAGTGATGGACTAAAAACAAATGCCACTTCATTGGTGTAATTTGCGTGTATGATACTCAATATCACAGGTTTTACATTATAAGAATAAAAAAAAATATAGTGACAAGTGTCAAGATATTTTTTATCTAAATTAATGTTTTCATTAATATTAATTATTTTACAAAATCTAAATATTTGTTTGAAAATCTCTTTATTTTTAATATATTTTTATTTAAAAAATATCAATTTAAAATTACATATATATTGCAATTTTTCATTCTATGCTATCTGAAAAGATATAAAGCTTTAGATAGTATTTACGAACTCAGATTGCAATCTTTTTTGGCAAAAGAGTTCTTTCAAAGCGACTAGTACTTTCACGTCAAACTTTTCTTTAAAGATTGATGATGAAATCAAATTAAATAGAGAGAAAGAATTAAACGGGATGAAATTGTAATATGTAATTGAAAATGAAATTAATTTTCAAATGCATTTTCTACATTTGAAAAATAAAATTAATTACTTTTGATTCTAATTTGTAAAGAATAATATGAATAAAATATCAAATGAAAACTCTTTTTTTGTAAAAGAATTCCTGTTTTCAAATGATTGCAAAAATGGATCATATATATAAGAGTTTATTTTTTCTACCGTTAAAACATAATATATGTAAAATAATACTCTAGATACTCGTATAATATGTATTTCTTGCTCAATTTAATGAACAATTTATTTTGTTATCATACTATATACTTTTTTATTTGAGAGTTTATTAATTCTTAAGCTTTTAATGAGATTAAGAAATTAAGGATTAATCTTTCAAAAATAATTATGAAAATTTTTTTGTAAACTTAATAATCGAATAAGCAACGAAAGTTGAATTTGTTCTAAAATGATTAATAATAAATGAGTCGTAAATGATTAAATAGAGTACAACGAGATGTGATAATCTGATGTTTGGTATTTTTTTTGTGATAGTAATTAGCTCACCGAGTTAAATTAACTCTATGTACAAGTATTTCACAAGAATGAAAGTGAAGGAAATGTGAAAGCAAGAACAGATCACATATAAAATTTATTTTATATTTGGTAGCTCAACTATAATAATATTAGTTATCAAATCACATAATATATAAATAGCCAGCATTATTTATGTATCTATAGATGAATTATGAATTATATATACATATGTCGTTCCTAAATACGCTTATCAAGTAGAAATGGTTTCTCTTATCACTCAAAAATTCGTAGAATAATGATTAATGGAACTAAATATATTACACAATTGATATTATAACTATAAGTCAATATAACTCTATGTAACAAGCTTCTTATTAGTATTATTTATGCGTAAATTAGATTCATGCACCACCAGTTGCTAGCACATAAATATTTAAACAATTATTTAAATAATAGAATTATTAATATCTAGTTATTTATCATTAAATATGAAAGATTTCAAATAATTAATTTATTTTTGTTAAAAATTTATCTCAAAGAATCAATAGTTTGAATTGAAGAACGAATGAGAATAAATGAGTTAAAGAACCAGTAGTTTTTAGGATTCACGTATATCACTTAAAATATGTATACACTTAAATATATATATATATACACAAGAAAACCCAATTTTACAATATCTTGTACATTTTCCACATGTTTTTTTTTTTTTATGTGGCTAACCTTTACTAACAAAGATAACCCACTATACATATATAATTTAATATAAAAAAATAATATGTAAATGTAATGTAAAAAACAATTGTTTTCTTCTTTTGGGTAAATAAATTTTATTATCAGAAAAGTGTATATGCAAAAATCATTCGGACATCATTTTCCAAGTCGAATAAAAATAATCGATGCGAGACTTCTCGGCACGCGTACAACATACTCGCACGTGCCACTCGATCCGTTCCCTTCAACAAGGCACGCGCAGAGGGGTAGAGAGAGGAAAAAGGGGGAGTTTGCATCTGCCGCTCGTTCGGACCTTCACACAACGGTTGAACAGCCGAGCCTCAAAGGGGACCGATGACAGACAGACTCCCTCGCAGGGCCCCCCTTTTTCGGGTTGTAACGGTTGTGAAAATGAGGGGGTTGGTAGTATGCGACCATCGACGTTAGTCAACGGTCGTATTCATTGACAGTTCTCTGTAGCGTAGTTAATAACGAAGGTATACCGTACTTCTCGTGACAAAAAGAAAGAAAAAAAGGCATTTTTTACGAGAAAGAGTTTACCAGAGAAACTTTGCGCGACACAAAGGAACCATTAGTGTGCTTGCAAGCGCGAGAATCTCTCGACACTCCGACCTGATAACGAAGCTGATATCACGGATAACCGATCTGACGTTAAGGGACAAACTTGCAGAAGCGCACGTTTCTACTCGAAAGCAGAAGCGCATAAGTAACACGAGGTATCATTACTTCCAGGCGATGGCACAGTAAGACGACCATCCAAACAGATAATAACTTTGTAGCTGCTATTACATCGAACTTATTAGTTCATGTTTGAGAGATTAATTTTATTATAAAGATTTTATTTTTATCGTTACACAAAATTTGACGAAATATATTAGACTGTTTATTGCTACAGCGATTTCAGTTTTGAAAGAATTTAAATACAATACTGTAAATACTGTATAAATTAATACTATCAAAAATATTTGAGATAATAAATGCTGGAATCGGAGAACAATATACTAATTAATTTTTTTCAATCTCAATATATAGAAACAGATATGTAGAAACATAGTCAATATTATATAGAGAAGCGCGCATACACGCAATTGGTATATTATCTCAAATAATATTTTACAATTTATTATTAATATACAATCCATAATCTATAGCTATTATTAAATCCATATTAGACATCCGTAATTTGATTAGATATCCGTAAATAAATTGTAATCAAATTATAAGAACCTAAATATTGTTAGACTTATAACTTTAATACATTTAAATGAAGCGAAGATTTTTGTTAAAAATATTGTTGAGAATTACACTGTTTAATAGAATTTCGAGTATTTCAACAGAAATTTATTTGTATTAATTAATCATAAATTTAATTATAATTATTTGAAAAATTAATGATAATTTTTAAGAAATGAAAGATTAGTTTTTGAATTTATTGAATTACAGGTAGATAAGCACTAAATCATAATGAAGAGATATTCATCGGTAAGATATTTGTTATAAAAATAATATTTTTGTAAAAAACTAAAGCTTGCTCATAATATGTCTGTATATAAATATATTTAATACATTTAAAATCATAAAAATTATAAAAAATGTTATTATAAAAAATGTTTTAATAATTGTATTTAACGCAGGCACCTTGTTTAGAAGACATTGGCAATGATGCTAAAAGAATAAAAGGAAGTGAACAATATGCGGTAAGTTAAAATTATTAATTACATCATTGGAATATTATAATAAACAAAAATAATTATATTATTAATAATATATAATATATAATTGTATAAGCTCAAGTTACAATTTGATTAAAAATACAAATAAGTAATAAGATGATAAAACTAGTTTTAAGAAAAAAATGAAGACGCAAGAATGTAACGCTGTATGTTAATACTTATTAAGATGTTTAACAAAATTAGGAAATAACAGTAAAATTTTAATAGTAAATCCTCTTCTGTTTGCAATTATTGCATTTAATAAGCATTATGACCGTATTTAAGTTGAAGAATTATTTAATTATATTATTAGGCGAAAATTGCATTTATTTACAAGTTTCTTGCGTATTTATGAAAGTATAAAATAATTCATTACAGATAGATATAATTCAAATTTCTTTTTTAC